TCCTAAGCTATTTGGAAGATAAATCAAGGAATAGTAATCTTTATATTTATCCAACACAGCCCCCATTTTGTCTTTTCAGTCTCAATATTGCAGAGAGATAAGATCTTTTAATCACCTTTTTGTTACTTTGCAGCCATCTCTGAATTTCTTGTGTGAATGATATAAGAAGCAAAGAATGATTTTATTGAATTTAATGGTTTATTACTGAATTATTAAAAATATAAATACTAGTTGGAAGATGGTTAAAGGAAAGAAGAATTTGTAGTAACGAAATAGAACTTGGATGGTATCCATTTTGGTTTTGTTATGGAGTAGGGAAAAAATAGTCATTTTTCTAGAGGATTTGCTTAAATGGAAATGTTATGATGTCCATGAATTCAACATGTAACAGTCTTTATTCCTTTTTTCTACAAATTCTGACAGCTGCTGCCACCCTCTATATGTTTTCTCTTTCATTTCTGTTCTTTCTTTCAATACTTTTCCAGATTGTGTTATTTTGTTGATTTTGACATTACCATCATGACGAGATTTCCACTCCTTATCATGCATCGGTTTTCTACTTTTATAGCTCTTCCCAAACACACATACACTCTTTCCCTCCACGTGGGTTGTTGGTATATTGTTCCTTAGAGCATATATATTCTAGTTGTGTGTTGATCAACTTTTTTTGTTTATCCATGATTTGCCACTGGAAAAAAACCCCTTTTTTAAATACAAAAAACACATTTTTTAAATAAAAAAATTGTTTATTTTTCTCTTATCCAAAATCCGTAGCTGATGAGGTTGATTACCTCGTAAGAAGTGTGGCCTAGCCACAGCCGTCTATGGTACCATGTGCTTTTCTTACGGGTAATCATCAATTTTGCTGTTATTTTCTTCCTATATCTCTAAACATAACATCACAATATCATCCTGTTTCTCATCTTTCTCTATCTATTTTATTCTCTCGTCAATCCCTATAGCTTTCTCTGACAATGAGCATAGTGTAAGGCAAGCCCTAGCCACAATCTTTTTTTACCATGCTCATCATTTTAACAACGAAAGTTGAGCGTAAATGCATGGACAGCTTCAACATAACTTACTAAGAATGGATGATGGACTCTTAAGTTTTGATAAGAGACAGTGTCTTAATATGTTTATAGTTCTAGGGTTGTAGTGTGGACCCAATTAGGATTTTACTTGGTTAGGACCACATCTTGTTTTTAACTAGTTGCGTTTTGACTGAATCCCTAACATTACCGGTGAACAGGTTGTTTTCATGTTTGAAGTTTGGTCTAGGTAACCTTTTTTTTTTTTAGTGTTGGTGTTGTTTAATCGTTTGTTCATTGCATCTGGCTTTGGCAGACGGACTGTGTATATTATTTATATGGATATAGATACAACATGTGGATGTGAGGGATGTGGATTATTATAAAGTTGCTTTAAATTAACCCACAAAAAGGAGGTTGGTATGCAGGGACATATCAGATATCAGTTTAACAAGGATAAAAAATAAAATAAGTTGAAATAAAAAACTATTATTCATATATATTTTTTAATAATAATAGAAAAATGATGGATAGTAACCCAAAAACGAAACATAACTCTGTCCCTATTGATATGGATTATAAACGGGAGCTATTCTTTTAGAGTTCATCTCATGCATGAATCTAGAGATTCAATCTCATATTGGAAGGACCAAAACCAGTATTGTCCCATGAAACCAGGTGAGTCAAAGGTCACGGCCCATCAAAAAATAATCAGCCCCTTTCCTCATTCACAACGATCCTTCTCCTATTTCCGGGACCTCTTTGTTTCCGGAACGAGGATCGGGGCTCCCATCGTTCGTTCCTCTCGGTTGTTGATCCCCTGCCCTCTCTTCCAAGTGGTTGCCTTCTTACATATGGTTCGGATTTAGGTGAAGAGATTAACCTCTTTGATTTCTCCTCATCGTAACACAGTGTTTCAATCCCTTGCAAGTTGGGTTCTGGAGTATATCCGACTGGCCGCTTCGATTCATCCTTTCGCCGGAATGTGATTGATGTCCTATGAGAAGCAACACAACAAAAAGGTTCAACATGAACAATAAAGCAAAATATAAAAAACATGATAAATTATCGTTGTACCTCTTTGCTGAATCTTGATCAGTTCTTGAGGAGTCCAATAGGTAATTCAGTGGTATTTATTTCTTTTCTGTATTGCAACGATGTCAATAATTGCCGACGTGCTTGATCCAGAATTTAAAACCCTTGAGGGCGGTACAACATATAGGTTTATCAACGTTTCCAAACTTGTCTGAGTTATTCCTTAATTCTAGCTTTTTGAAGGTACTTAGGTCATTTAGTAGTTAACTCTATTTCGATAGCTTTGAAATTTCTATAGTAATTCAATCATTTTTGAAATTCAAATACATATAGTTCTTCCAATCCATTCAACTTGATCATATAATTTAATCCTTTCTTGACATTCAGACGTGTAAAGTACCTTCAATAATTCTGTCTCTGGATGTTATCTCAGAAAATAGAATTTCTAGGTCGCTTGGTATTCGAGGTTCACTTATTCGTTTCAGAGCTAGAGGAATTAGTTATTACAGTGCTTAGACGTTTCTTGGTTCATTTTACATTTTAGGGGAATTCCAATATAGATCTGAAATTTAAATCGATGATTCCAAGGTTCAAGTGTAACAAGATATGAGTTCTCGGGTCGTCTCTATTATCATAGACATCTATTGTGCTTAACACTTTAAGCGCATCATAGACATTTCATTTGAATCTGCCAGTGGCATACTTTCGATAAGTTAGGCTTGAATGCAATCTAGTTCCTTTAGCGTTCAGAGTATTTTGTTCCTTTGATCGCCGGGGGTTATTATAGTTAGTATGAAGCTTGAGGACATTTCAATAATTCCTTTCAATTCAATCATATACAATTTTTCTTATAATTGATCCAGTATGTCCTTTCGGAGTTATTTTTCACCTTCCGGAGAAGTTTTGGTCTTTTACAGTATAAGGCCATTTTCATAATTTTACCCCTTAGGACTATTTTAGATAATTTCTTATCCACATAATTCCCGACATTTAACCTTTAACTTGATTAATCATAGTTTACGAGTCCTGAGGTTGATTGATTAATTGATTAAATCATTGAACTTGGATTTGTTTCCGATCGATCTACCAATTTCTCTTTTTCGAACCGCCTGAGTCTTATATAATGTTATGTCTTTATTTTAATTTACATCTGAATCTGATGATAGTTAAATACGTTTAATGGTCCAATCATTCCAATCACGCATTTACCATCTATCCATGAGTTTCGAAAAGCATACAAAAAGATTTTCGTGCCTTATCGATCGACCATTTAAATTCCATTCGATCGCCCTCAAACTTTTATTTAATGTCCAAGGATTCATCGGATACATAGCAAACAATTTCACGTCAAAAACTAAACTTATTTGAGAAACCATATTGAATTCTGAAGGTAAATCACTTAAAAACAGCTTATCAGGTGCGAATTTGGCAAAACAGACTTTGGATTTGGACTCAGGACGTCGAAAAACATAAAATGGGACCTTTTCGAAAGAGTTGACTTTTTGGTCAAAGTTTACAGTCAACGGGTTGACTCGGATGAGTTGACTCAGTCCAAGTTGACTCGGTCGGGGTCAAACAGACCTGGTTTGGACCAGTTCAGTATGACTAGACCGGTTCCAAAAACTTCCTAGACCAACAGAGGAGCTTCACGTGCATTGCCGACGCGTGCGGCAGCGACAGGGGTTGTTTCGGGCGGCCGATTCCTCCCTGATCATCCACACAACAAATCAAACAATAAACAACTCAAACATCAACCCCAATTCAACTGAATTAAAATAAAACAAAAGACCGAAATCCTTACCCACGCCGGCGACGACGAACTCCAACAATGCTTCGACCCACGAGTTGGGTCACGAGCGCCTGAGGACGATGATGCTAACGACGCAGGTGGTGAGGCGAGGCGATCGACGGATCGGCCAAAACCGAGGCATAATCGTACGACAACAGGAGATGGTTTCGACGATGATCCATAACGGAAGAAGGCGTTTCACGGGGAGAGACTATGGGGGTTTTTGTTGGACTTATATGGACTCGATTTAAAAATGATTTTAGTCGCTCTTCGATTTTGAGGTATTATTTTGATTAATCTAGATCGATTTGTGTTATACACCTGATTTTGATATCCTACCGTTAAAAGATTAACAAAATTGTTGATGTAATATTTTTTTCTTAATGATATGATATTATTTTATGATGACACCTCAACATTAGTGTTAAGATTTTAATGGTGGATTATCAAAACAAAATTTAAACTAAATGTTTAATATAATTTTAAGAAATAAAATAAAATTTAAGTATCAAACAGAACAAAAATACTAATAATTTATGTATTAAATGTGTAATTTGTTCTAAAAATTAATCATCTTATTTTTTATGATATTATCAAATTAAATGAATTTATTTCATCAAAGTAGTTGTTAAATAATTATATTTTATCATAAAATAATATTAAATTTTTATTATATAAAAACGATATAATATTTTTGAAAGAAGAATAAAAATAAAAGTGTATACAAATTACGTAAGAAATATTAAATTTATTAGAGTTGTTATTCTATCATATTTTATTATTATATTTATAGTTCAAATTTTTAACCAAGGACCTACATCGTAGTTTACCCAATGAAATTTAACCCAAACTAATATCACACAAGTATTTTTGTAAATAGGGATTTAATTTAACCCAATGAAATTTGTAAGTGACCATCCAGCTTAGTTGGTAGAGCACAAGGTTCTTAAGGTTGTGGGATCGAGTCCCACGAGGGCATTTCATAATTCGAAGGTCTCTTACGGAAGCTGCTCTCAATTTGATATTGGAATAACCTACTATCTTACCTTACCCCATATATATATATATATATATAACCAGTGTCACAATAATGGTGGATTGCCGGCCTGGGTTTTCCTTTTTATGTTGATTTTATAAATTTTCCCCCACATTTTCCCTGTTTTCTCTCTGCTCGTCATTATTTCCATTAGATGATCTCAGAAGGAATGGCTTCGGCGGATAGGAAATTCCTTATACTTCATTTCCTAACATTGGTTTCAGTGTTTATTCTTTGTGCCGACAAAGCATTTTCCATTCGTATTCCAGATCGAGCTTCAACCACGCCTCGGGAACTATCGGATCAGTCTTTGAAAACCGCCGTTTTTGCCCTAGGTAGTTTCTGGAGGTCGGAAGCTGTATTCGGTTGCTTAAACGGTGTCGTTCGAACGACTTCTGGTTATGCTGGCGGATCCAAAATCAATCCGGAATACAGAAGCTTCGGTGACCATGCCGAGTCTGTAATGGTCCGTTATTTCTCTTCATTTCCTCTCATTTATTTCAAATTATGAACTTTAATGCTGATGCTTTCGATATAGTTGCCGAATTTATGAAATAATTGTTTCTGAAATTAATTAATCTAACAGATGAAGGATAATTATCTGTTTCTGGGAAAACATTCTTGTTGATTTCCATATGAATTTTTGTAGATTATGGGTATTTGAATGATGAACAGGTTGAATATGATCCCAAGGAGATTAATTTTAGGCATCTTCTGGAGGTTTTTTGGTCTAGCCATGACCCAAGGCAGGTTTTTGGCCAAGGTCCGGATGTTGGTAATCAGTATAGGTAAGCATCATCATGAACCAAATGATGAAAACAAAACCCAGATTATTACTTCATTTTGTACTCTTTAATTACAGGTTTTTCTTATCTCAATTCAATCAGGTCTATTATTTTTACTAATGGAACAGAAGAGGCTAGATTAGCTACCATAAGCAAAGAAAGGGAACAAACCAGATCGCGGAGCAGCATTGTGACAACCCAAATTCAACAACTTGAATCATTTTATCCTGCAGAGCCTGAACATCAGGTTTAATGCTCTCCCATTTCTTCTATTGTTTGAGAAAGGCAGTCCACAAGATTCTTTCAGTTTTCGCTTTAATACGTTGGCAACTTCAGATGCTTGTTTAGATTTTTATGATCTACAAGCTTCTTTAAGTTTTTGGTTTAATAAGTTGGTAACTTCAGGTGCTTGTTTAGATTTCTATGATCCACAAGCATCTTTAAGTTTTCGGTTTAATACGTAGGTAATTAATTATGTAGGGTGCTGAGAACTAATGTGCATAAAAAGAATTAATCAATCAATAGGTTTAATGCTCTCCCGTTTCAAATTAGCAACTAATGTAATTACCATATTTTCATTGTGTATTTGAATTTGGATGATGGAAAACGTATGCTTCATCGTTTACAGATGTGCTATTACCCATTGATAGATCAGGTCAAAGGAGTTAAGGTTCTGATGGGCAAATGAGTGACTGATAAATCCATCTAATGTGCAGAAATTTGAGCTCAAACGCCATCCATTACTTCTACTGCTGATAGGAAACCTGCCCGAAGAGGAGCTTGAGATGTCTACTATGGCAGCAAAACTGAATGGATATGCGGCGGAGCTTTGCCCCCAAAGGATTCAAAAGCAGATCGATGCAAAGATCAATGGAATTATTAGAAGGGGTTGGCCTGTTTTGACAGATGTATAGCTGAACCATTGGAGTTGTGTTTCAGGTGAATGGCATTACTTTTGCCTTTTCTGGCCGAGTGATTTCATATGCACTGCAGTTCCCTTGCTTATTGATGAAAAGTCTTAAGTTTGGTGAATTTGATTAAATTAGTCTAGGCTTTAACATAAATGCAATTTGTTGAACTATCAGTTCAGTGTGTTGGGAATAGACCCGTTGGCATCTTTAACAAGGTTTGCTTTTTATTATTAAATCGGTGATTCAAACCCCTATAATGCTGTAATTTTATTTCTTATTGTTAATACTAGAATAAACCGTCGGTTCGCTTCGGAAAATTGGATTAATATTTATATTTTATGAAATCCAATTCATATGTAATCATTTATTCCTTTCAACTAAATAAATGTAAGGTTAAGGTTAAGGTTAAATTGGAATTATGTTAGGACTTAAATAACATATAAAATTTTATATAAGATGTATAATATCTGAACATGTAATGAATTGGCATTAAGATGAACATGACAGAAAATAAAATAAACATCATACGTCTTTAGGCACAACATGAAAATGTGAATAACACATTATCATCATGATTCAAGAATGTGTTAAATCCTAAATTTGAGCATAGTATAGGATCAAAATCATAATTTCATCAAATAAGCACCTAAAATAGAATTTTAGTAAGTAACATTGCGTGTGTGTCAATCAATTGTTGGCTCAAATTTTACAATTAAAGTAGGTATATTCAGATTCCGAGGGATCTTAGTACTATGTAAGTTGATAGCAAATTAACCACACCATTACAAACGTGAGTAGCTTAGTGTGTGTGTGTGTGTTTTAATTTAATTATGAAGTAAATAAATAAAATTATAAACAATTATAAAATTAAATATTAAAAGTAAGGGTATAAATGAATGTGAACCAATGTGTCAATTTAATATTATGTCAATAAAAATGTAATAATAAAAAAATATTATAGAATAAATAATTAAATAACAAAAATAAATAACTCATCATATTTTTTAAATAAATTATAGATATAATTATAATCATAGTTAAAAATAATTAAAAGGAAAAAGGAAGAAGACTATAAAGAAAAAGAATATTTTTAATAAATCTAAAATTCTTGATATAAGAAAATATAAAAAATAAAAATGAACAAATTTGATTAACAAGTAAATACCATATATTTTTAATGCGATGAAAATTGATTTATGTCGTCAAGTTTGGCTAGCAGCAAGAACAGGGATGATTTAAATGGCACTTGCATCTAAGGGTGTAAAAAGCTGACCCGACCTGTAAAACTGACTGAAACTGACTTGAGTTAAAACTGTTTTTGACCTGCGATGTGGCAATTTGAAACGGACTCGAGTCGGAACTGGTGTTGACCTGAACCCGAGTTGGACCTGGAAATTGTGAACCTGCACCCGACCTGAGAACGACCTGAACCCGAATTGAACCGAAAATATGATACATGAACCCGAACTGCATCCGACTGATATGAACTCGAACCCGAGATTGACCTGATAAATAACTGGTATTACCCGACCTGTTTTCAACCTGACTTGTTATGAACCTGACATATAATTGACTAAACCTATAAATTATCTGACATGTTAAAGTGATATGATATTGTCCTGACTTATAAGTAATATGTTACAATTAATATAATTATATTATTTTAAATTTATAATAAACTTATGATAATTAAATTAATATGATTACTTTTTGTAATTTAGTTTTTATATTAATTATAACTTGTATATAAATTTGATTTTTATTAATTCCAATTCTTATATTATTTATAATTCTTATATTATAAATTTAATTTATAATCACTAAATTAAATTTAAATATTATCTTATTGAACATGATTTTATTAAATTATATAAATTGAGTTAAAATATTCATAAATTTAATTTGTGTTAAGTTGTGTTGCAGTGACCGAATCATGTTAGCTAACTACGAAGGAGCTCATAGAGTATCATGATTAGTTCCAAAGCATTGAATCATTGAAGCACAAAATTTCCACAAATTCCAAAGTGGACAAGAACAAGTTCCTTGATGGAGCTATCTCACCAAGAGTACTTGTTTAAACTTAAGATGTAATGGTTATATAGCAACTAGTCATTTAGGTTCTATGGAGCACTTTCAGAAGAAATTTCATTATCAAATGGTCATCATCCATAACAAGTAAAGTATTTTCACCACTCTAAGTTCGAATGTAAAGATCGGACCCCTATTTTGCCTTCGGAGAAGCTGTTACGATGAACCATTCTTTCAACTTTCACAAACTTGGGGCAAAGTAGAAATTAAACAATAACCTACCCATAATACCAATTTCTCTTCCCCTGGAGGCCGTCTTACCTCGATTGGTTTTAGTCCGGTTATCAGCTCTAACAAGATAACCCCAAAAGCATAAACATCAATTTTATCATACACTTTTCTATGTTGGAAATACTCGGGTGCCAAGTACCTACATACCTAAAATATGAGAGAGAGAAAGACAAATCTTTACCGAGTATTTCATGAAGCAAAATAAAATGAAAAAGTATCCTTTAGCTTTCTATAGGAAAATGTTGTTGACAACATACCCAAATGCTCCTTTAACAATTTTGCAAAGGAATGGAATTGAAGGTGTGGATGTCCAAGTTGCTAATCCAAAATCACACAACTGCAACCATTACAATTGCAAGACAATGACTTCTATCCGTTTTCAACTCAAGAATTAAGGACCAAGATCCTTACCTTGGGTGTTTTCTTGGAAGAAAGAAGAATGTTAGAGGGCTTGATATCTTTATGAACAACACATCTTTCAGTTCTGTTGCTACTATAAATCCTTAATATACCGCAATTTAGCAAAATAAACTAATTGGTCCAAAGGCTTTATGCTAGAGAATCAATTTTGAAATACCGAACATACAAAATGTAAAACAACATTATACACACAGGAGATGCTGGCAACCTCTGTCAATATACAAACCAGTTTATACCAGGTGTGAAGAACGCAATTGGAAAACTAAAGCATTTGGGATGGATGAAGTGGGTTTTACAAATATCAAAATACAATTTTGCAGTATAATTTAAGGCCCTGTAAACAAAACTTGTATTCTCCCATCTGTTTTTGAGCTATCACAATCTATTATAGCCTTGATTATTGGATTCAAAGAATGTATAGTGAATAGAATCAATTGCATAACCAAATAATTTGTTTAGATTAGTACTGCTGCGTATCCCTCCAAAAAGAAACTTTAACAGATAAAAGAAGGCTCCTTGACAGAGAAACTTTAAAAAGTAATGGAAAGACGTAAACTTCCACTTATAATAATTTGGTGAAATAACAGTCAGTACAATAACCGGTTTGATCTAAAGTTTCCCCACTCAAATGCCAAATTCTGTCTTCGAATGCCATAAGAAGCGTAATGAACACTTTTAATTTGTAGAAATCAACCAAACCATGCAAACTAAATAGATTTCTATCCATTACCAATTTTCATTGCTTCGCTGAAGTACCCAATTCTACTTCCAAAACTATAACATAATATTCAATCATACAACTTACAGGCAAAACAATATAACCATACCTCATAGGAAAGAACCCTCACCTTTAAGCTTGAAGCTACTTGTCATTCAATCAACTTCATCAAGATATACAAAAAAATAAACAAATTCCAATTAATAGAATAACACTAAATATCACTCAAAAAAGACCGAGAAGAAAAATAGAAGCTTTGTGCTCACCCATGTAAAAAGTACTGAGAGCCCAACACCTACACCAATCCAAAAAAACGACAACCCTCTGCAAAATATAAACACATAAACAACTAAGAAAAGAAATAAATGTTAATAAAATATACACACACCAGAAACTATATATATTTTTAATGTCCATCTAATCAATATTTCTCTTCACTAACCCAAAACTGCTAAAACTAAAAGTAAACAATTAAAAACTATAATTATTTCACCAAAATGTGTAGATTAAAGTTTGATATCAATTCACATACAACTATTTCATATACAAGAAAATAATACAGTATTCCATTATACATGAAACTATGTCTGTTGATAATCGGTTTTTGCTCATTACAAAGTTACTAAGAAAAAGGATTAAAAATGGATAAATGACTAAATGAAACATTAATTCTAATATAGACTACTACTTTCTAATTGTTGAAAGTATTAAAATGGTTTTCAAGTTTGGTAACCAACTTTGAAAAAATGGTTTTCAAAGTTTGGTAAATATTTCTTTGAAAAATAGTTTTTCAAAGTTTGGTAGATATTTGTTGAAAAATGATAATGGGATAATCACAATTAATCCCTAGGCTTTAGTGTATTTACAAGATTAAGTCCTTAAGTTTCAACTATAAATACCCTAGCTCATTTAGCTTCAAAACTATCCCAAAAATCATTTCTTTCTCCAAAAACTAAAAGTAAACAATTAAAAACTATAATTATTTCACCAAAAATGTGTAGATTATTAAAGTTTGATATCAATTCACATACAACTATTTCATATACAAGAAAAATTATACAGTATTCCATTACATGAAAACTATGTCTCTGTTTGATAATCGGTTTTGCTCATTACAAGTTACTAAGAAAAAGGATTAAAAATGGATAAATGACTAAAATGAAACATTAATTCTAATATAGACTACTACTTTCTAATTGTTGAAAGTATTAAAATGGTTTTCAAGTTTGGTAACCAACTTTGAAAAAATGGTTTTCAAAGTTTGGTAAATATTTCTTTGAAAAATAGTTTTTCAAAGTTTGGTAGATATTTGTTGAAAATGATAATGGGATAATCACAATTAATCCCTAGGCTTTAGTGTATTTACAAGATTAAGTCCTTAAGTTTCAACATAAATACCCTAGCTCATTAGCTTCAAAACTATCCCAAAAATCATTCTTTCTCCAAAAACTAAAGTAAACAATTAAAAACTATAATTATTTCACCAAAAATGTGTAGATTATTAAAGTTTGATATCAATTCACATACAACTATTTCATATACAAGAAAAATAATACAGTATTCCATTATACATGAAAACTATGTCTCTGTTTGATAATCGGTTTTTGCTCATTACAAAGTTACTAAGAAAAAGGATTAAAAATGGATAAATGACTAAAATGAAACATTAATTCTAATATAGACTACTACTTTCTAATTGTTGAAAGTATTAAAATGGTTTTCAAGTTTGGTAACCAACTTTGAAAAAATGGTTTTCAAAGTTTGGTAAATATTTCTTT